TTAACCAATGTCATAAAACAATATGTGTACTACTGTTTCATGAGAAACTATTTGTTCTGTAAGCCTTCACCTGAAGTACAATAAAAAAATAAAAAATAAAAAAAAAATGCATACTAAGGAAAAAGAAAATATTGCTTCTCAGTTAACAGGAAAAAAGCTATTTGATTATTTCCTTTACTGAGATTGAATGGAAAAATTTATTAAACTGAATATTCAAAGGAAAAAAAAAATATTGACCTAAGTACAGTACCCAATCTAAAGCTGCCTGCTTAGCAAGAAAGAAGAAAATCAGAACGCGTGTATCACAGAAACAGCTGTCACCCTGCCCCGGCTGCATTTCTTCAAGGGGAAGCTATGTAGTAACCATCTAAGAGAACCAAAATGAAAAAATAAATAAATGGATTCTTCAGGTAAAACAGAGCAAATGAAACTTTTGACTGACATCTTAGTTGTGACCAAAATCTAATATTCCTATGTCCATTGTGTTCATTCACATAAAAATATTTTGTTTTTACCCATACAAGAATTCATACATACATTGTTATGTGACCCTAATCACTCTCCCCATACTGTGACAGCATACTCCTCCTTTCCACCCCTGCTTCCCCAGGTGCATTCAACCAGCTCCTAACCCTCTCTGCCTTCCCATCTCACCTCCAGACAGAAGCTGCCCGTTCAGTCTCTCGTATCTACCTGAGCTAAGAGGCACACTTCTCATAAGTATCACTTTATGTCCCACAGTCCAGTCCAATCTCTGTCTGAAGAGTTGGCCTCGGAAACTGTTTTAGTTCTGGACTGACAAGAGAATCCAGGGGCCATGCTTTCTGGGGCACCTCTAGTCTCAGTCAGACCATTAAGTCTGGTCTTTTTACTAGAATTTGAGTTCTGCACCCCACCTTCCTCCTGCTCCATCAGGAGCTCTCTGTTGTGTTCCCTGTCAGGGCGTTCACTGGTAGCACCCAGGCACCATCTAGTTCTTCTGGTCTCAGGCCAATGAGTCTCTGGTTTACGTGGCCCTTTCTATCTCTTGGGCTACTACTTTCCTTGTATCTTTGGTGTTCTTCATTCTCCTTTACTCCAGGATGTTGGGACCAATTGATGCATCTTAGATGGCCGCTTGCAAGCTTTTAAGACCCAGATGCCACTCATCAAAGTAGGATGCAGAACATTTTCTTAATAAGCTTTGTTATGCCAAATGACCTCGATGTCCTCTGAAAGCATGGTCCCCAGACCCCAACCCCTGCTACTCTATCCCTCAAAGTATTTGACTATATTCAGGAAGCGTCTTAGCTTTGGTTTAGTCCAGTTGTGCTGACTTCCCCTGTAATGAGTGCTGTCCTTCCCTTCACCTAAGATAATTCTTATCTACTATCTAGTTAGTAAATAGCCCTCCCCCTCCCTGCCCACCCTCGTAACCACCAAAGAATGTTTTCTTCTGTGTTTAACCCTTTTCTTGAGTTCTTATAATCGTGGTCTTATATAATATTTGTCCTTCTGTGACTGACTAAATTCACTCAGTATAATGACCTCCAGCTTCCTCCACATTATGTTTCACAGATTCATCGTTGTTCTTTATTGTTGCATGGTATTCCATTGCGTGGATATACCATAATTTGTTTATCCATTCGTCTGTTGATAGGCACTTAGGTTGTTTCCATCTTTTTGCTATTGTGAACA